AAACAGTGGGAGATTGCCTTTTGGGTGGGAAGGAGGGAGAGAAGGGGACAGATGCAAATGAGGGCCAGGGCTGCTTTCCCAGGGAAATGACCATTTGCATAGATGCAGCTCTCGGGGCAGCCAGAAGTTCTGGACACAATTCCTTTATTTTATTTTTTGGAGTCGGAGTCTCACTCTGCCGCCCAGGCTAGAGTGCAGCTGGAGTGCAGTGACACAATTACGGTTACTGCAGCCTGGACCTCCTGGGCTCAGGTGATCCTTCTGCCTCAGCCTTCCAAGTAGCTGGAGCTATAGGCATGTGCTGCCACTCCTGGCTCATTTTTTGATTTATTGTAGAGACGAGGTCTCGTCAAGTTGCCCAGGCTGGTTTTGATCCCCTGGGCTCAGGCAGTCCTCTCATCTTTACCTCCCAAAGTACTGGGATTGTAGGCGCAAGCCACCGTACCCTGACCTATTTTATTTTTGAGTCGGGGTTTCATTCTGTCACCCAGGCTGGAGTGCCTGGCTTTTTAAAATTTTTATTTTTGTAGAGATGAGATCTATGTCATCCAGGCTGGTCTCAAGCAGTCCTCCCGGCTTGGCCTCCCAAAGTGTTGGGATTAAAGGTGTGAGCCACTACGCTTAGTCTGGTCATAGTTCCTTAAGTGCCACTCACACTGCTTACAATCTATGATGCTAAAACATCTCATCTAGGAACATTTGTCTCTCCATTTTATCTGGAACTTTTATGTCTTTTATGGACATTCTGCAAGTTTATGCATCCTTTATTGGTTAACTTCTGAACAGAAACCTTATATTTTCTGTTAATGTAAAAGTGTCTTTATTTTCTACTATATTCTGGTTGGCTTCTAGGATTGCTATTGATTTTTATATATTGAGGCCAATTGATTTTATATATTGGTCTTGTATCTGGCAACCTTGAAACCCCACTGGTAGGTTTTTTTTTTGTTTTTTTTTGGCCACTGCAGCCTTGACCTGCTGGGCTCAGGCAATCCTTCCACCTCAGCCTTCCAAGTAGTTGGAACTACAGGCATGTACGCCCGGCTAATTTTTTTATTTATTGTAGAGATGAGGTCTCACCAAGTTGCCTAGGCTGGTCTTGAACCCGTGGGCTTAGGCAAACCTCTCACTTTGGCCTCCCAAAGTGCTGGGATTATAGACGTGAGCCACCGTGCCCGGCCCCACTGGCAGTTCTAATGAATGTCTTAGTTTTGTGTTGCTGTAACAGATTATATGAGACAGGGTAATTTATAGAGAACAGAAATTTAATTTTTGCAGTTCTGGAGAAGTCCAAGGTCAAGGGGCACATTTGGTGGGGGCTTTGATGCTGCCTCATCCTATGGGAATGTAGGGAGCAAGAGGGGAGAAAAGGGGCTGAACTCATATTTTTATCAAGAACTCACTACCCAGTCCTGAAATAATGACATTAATCCATTTATGAGGGCCGGATTGCATGATGTAATTGTCCTAAAGGTCCCACCTCTCAACACTATTGCATTGAGATTAAAGTTCAAACACATGAACTTTGGGGGACACATTCCGACCATAGCAGTGTCTGATTATTTTTAGTTTTCTACGTCAATGTTCCTATCTGCTAATTCTCCCTGTGCCTACCTTTCATTGAAATTACCAAGAGACTCTGACTGAAGAAAAATAAAAGAAAAACTAATAACGTAATAGGCTGGAGATTCCTCCAGCATCCCCCACCAGAGCCAACCCAGGAGAGCAATGCATGACAAACAGGTCATTTTTTTTTTTTGAGTTGGATTCTCACTCTGTCGCCCAGGCTGGAGTGCAGTGGCACGCTGCCCACGGCCACCGCCGCCTCAGCTAGCTGGGCTCAGGCGATCCTTCCGCCTCAGCCTTCCAAGTAGCTGGAACCACAGGCCTGTGCCACTACCCCCGGCTTATTTTTTGATTTATTGTAGAGATGAGGTCTCACCAAGTTGCCCAAGCTGGTCTCGAACCCTGAGGCTCAGGCAATCCTCTTGCCTCTGCCTCCCAAAGTGTTGGGATTACACGTCTGAGCCACCACACCCAGCACCTTCTCCTATCTTAAGCCAACAGTACAGCAAAATGGACCGAGAAATCAGGCTCAGACTCGAAAATGGTGTTGTTGTCCAGAAAGGGCACTTGGCTGCTGGTCAGTGCCTCCAGGATGGCTCCTGTGAAGTTCAAGTTTGGCCTGAGAAAGGGGGGTTTGTGGTATGAGCACATCCCATGCAAAAGTACAACACCTGAATAAAAAGCAGTTGGAGGTCAGGTCACCCCTGGCTTGTCTAGTCTTCAGAAGTGGCTTGAAACCACACTAATTTGGGTCACCTAGTGTCTTCTAAACTACTGCTGAACACCCGTGCATTGCAGATCGATCCAGATATACCTTTTTGCACCAAGAGTGGTACCTTAAAATGCCACTGGCCCCTCCTGAGTGTTTCCGTGTCCCGGCCTGATGGCTTAGGGTTGTTGCTGAGGTTCAGGGTTCATGAGTCATTGACACCTGGCCTGTGGAGTCCTCACGGGTGGCAGCCCCCACCCTCACACCCTGCCTGGGGTGTTGGGGGCCATCCTTCCTCACCCACCAGGTCAGACCTGACAGTTCTGCCCTCAGGAGAAGCTGTCACCTGACAGGTGCAGGCTGTTTGTGGTCGTGTTTACATATCTGATTCCTCCAGCCAGCTCCTGCTAGACGCTGGACTTTCTGCTGGAACATTCGTGAACCTTTTTTTTGGTTTCCTCTTAGGCAATTGAAACAGCCATCTCAATACACATCTGGCAAATTCTGGGAGTTAATTCTTTTTTCTTAAACTCTAGAAGGAAGAACAATAGCATCCTTATGTGGTTTCTTCTAAGGGGCTAGAAGCCCCCCACCCCCAGTGCCTGTCTGGCCTGATGTCACCGTGCTCGCCATCTCCTTGACTGTGTGCCTTTTGTTATGTTGTTGCTGGTAAACCGCCTAGAGTCAGCCCAAGACACCTGGAGGGTCCAGAACTTGTGTTCCCATGAGCCTCTGCCTGTTCCCACGTTCCCAGCATCTCCTTTTAATGCCGCCCTGTGCAACCTGCCTGCATTCTGTCCACTTCAGGGACAGACTTTGGGACATGGGTCCACCCTGGCCTGGGGAGGAGGAAGTCTTAGCACTGTCCTTTCTTGGCTCAATCATCAATTCTCCAAACCCCAGTGTCCTCTTGGAACAAAAAAAATCCAGTGAGCTAGTGAGCGGGTGGAGTGCTATTAGCAGACATGAGGAATTAAAAATTCAAAAGACCCCAGGCACGATTGTAAGAAAATAATAGGTTGCAGTACAAAGGTCGTAATGGTTCATGCCTATTCCCCACGGCACACAGGTCTCTGTTCAGAGTACTTGAAGAGGGAGTCTTTTTTTTTTTTTTTTTTGAGTTGGAGTCTCACTCAGTCGCCCAGACTGGAGTGCAGTGGCCGCTCCCGGCCACTGCAGCCTCCACCTGCTGGGCTCTGGCGATCTTTCCGCCTCAGCCTTCCAAGTAGCCGGGATTACAGGCATGGGCTACCACGCCCGGCTGGTTTTTTTGATTTATTGTAGAGATGAGGTCTCGCTGCCCAGGCGGGTCTCGAACCTGCGGACTCAGGTAATCCACTCACCTCAGCCTCCCAAAGGTGCGGGATTACAGGCTGAGCCACCGAGCCCGGCGAAGAGGGAGTCTTTATTTCATCCTCTTAATAACCCAGGGAGGGGGTGTTCATACTACCAAACCCATTTTATAGCTGAAGAAACTGACACACAGCTACTAAACTGGGCAGCTGGGAGTTGGACTAGGCCATCGGACTCCACTTGTCATCAGCATTATGCTCTGGACCCAAGGCTGTTTGGTACTGTGGGAGTTAAATTGGGCACGGGCTGGCAGTGTGGGGTAAATGGTGGTGAACCAGGCCACAGCATCCTGCACAGCCATCATGAGTGGATGGGACATTCATTGACCTGGGGGTTCATGATTATGACAGGAAGGCCACGGGCAGCAAGGGTCAGGAAACTCAGTGAATGGCGATTTGAGCACACTGGGCTTTATTTTCCCGTCACTCAAGGAGAGGCAGCAGAAGGCCCTGTGGCAGTTGCCGTGAGACCTGGCTCGCTCTTCCTCCCTGCTCTGCCGTTCCTGGCTAGCTGCTGCGCTTCCAGCCTTCAAGGAGGGAAACTTCCCGAGCTATGCCTGCGCCCAGGTGTCCAGGCCCTACATCCGGCTTCTCTGAGACCCCAATGACCAGAATTAGGTTATACAGTCACCAGCAGCTGCAGGGGGTGCTGGGAAAGTGAGGGACCGTCGTTGACTCAGAGAAGTAAGAATTTAGGGCCACCCCAAAGAATATTGGGGTCCTATTATAAAAAGCAAAGAGCCTGGGGGATGGATATCAGAGAGGTAAGTAACGGTATCCGCTGAGAGAGGAGGTTATAAACCCTGGAGTGTGATGGTGGTATTGAAAATGTGTGTGTGAAGCACATATGTGCTTAGAATAACGGGATGAATTAGCAGTTCCCTCTGAGAACTGGGATCGAAGCAACTTTTTCTCATATTGCTTTGTTCCCCTTTCTCATTCAAGAGAAACAGCAAGATGCTAAAAGACTGATGCTGTCTCCTGCTAAGCGATGCCAGGGAACTGTGCTCCTGGTGGAGCCCAGCCTCTCCTCCTCTGTTGACAGCGGGTGCCCAGGTTTTCCAGATTGACTTTGAGGGCCAGTGTTAAAGACCTTCTAATATTTGTACTCTGATTTTATTTCACAAAGAAGAGAAAAGCAAGGGTCCTTCTGAATCATCTCCAATTCCCTCCCTTCTGAGAACAGAGACGCTAGGTGACTTGCCCAGAGGCACACAGCCAGATGTGGCAGGATTCATGCCTGGGTTGGAGATTGAGGGCCTTAGCAGATTAAAAGAGTGGGCATGTGCAGGGATGAGGTATCTCGTGAGTGTAGCCCCGATTGCTTAGTTCCAGTAGGTCCAACTACACTGTCTTTCTGTCCCAGGGAAGAAATGTCTGAAGCAAGACCCATCTCCCGGGACCCCTTTTCTGAGACCCTCCTGTATGAGCAGCTCCGGGAGCCCCTGACCGTGGAGGTCCTTGGCCTGACCCATTCCGGGGAGGACCCTGACCCCGAGGAGGACCCAGATCCTGTGGAGGACTTTGGTCTCATGGAGTGCATTGAGGGCAGGTAGGGCCCGATGGTCTGCTGTGGGCCCCACCCTGTTCCTGGGAGTGACTTCAGGGGTGGCCTTCTGTGAGGGAAGGAAGCTTTGTGAACGCCTCCCCAGGCAGGACTCTGGAGAGGGGATTCCCCAGGTGTGGTCATGGAGGCACATGCCCCGGCTGGAGTGACGTCACTGCACCCCCACCGGATGCTGGTGCCCCACCCTCCTCTGACACCAGCTCACAGAGGACAGAGGGACCTCAGTACCCAGCATATTCACAGTCCCAAGGTGGACCCTGGACACTGGCTGTCAAAATGGTTTGAGCTTGTGCCCTTAGGGAGCTGCAGGCCTTCCTGACCTGCTGAGCATGTCAAGGTCTCTCAAAGGAGATGGGTCTCATCTTAGAAACCCAAACCCTGGGAAGGACTCGTGGAGGCCACATTGTCCTGGCCCTGGCTGTTAGGGTTTTTCAAAGAATCATGGAGACAGGAAGAAGAAATCCTCCCAGGATCAACAAGGCCCCTGGAGGTAGCAGGACTTGCTCGAGGTCTTGGGGGTCCTGGGGGTCAGGGTAGAGGTGAGGCCCGAGCCCAGCACTCTGCTAGGTACTCCTAGCTGTGCACAACACACGGCAGCATATCCAGGGGTCCAGGCCCTGGCCTTCCCAGTGGCCGGAAGCACATGCACGTTTATTTTCGCCTTGCACAGATAAGGAAGGTGAAGGCCAGGGAGCTGCTGCCCTCAGGAGTGTCCATCCTGAGCAGGAAGAGAACAGCCAGACCCGACCCGGGCTGGGCTTCTGCCAGGGAATCCTGGCTCTTCCTGCAGCACTGCCCATAGGCTGAGGTCAGCTCCGGGGTTCTGGACGTTTCCTCTCTGCTTTAGGCGCAAGATTTATAGTCATGAAGGTCCTAAATGTAGGGATTGGGCTGGTTAGGGTTGCAGGGCTGGAGGGACCCAGAGATCACCTGCTGCCCCCACACTCTCTACTCTTGCTCATTAGTGGACGCAAGGACAGGGGATGTGTAGCTGGGGTCCCATGGGGTAACAGGAGGTGGAACGACCCCCCACCCCCGGGCTGCCAACTAGCCTGCCTCATGCCCCCCCAATGCCTCCAGAGTAAGGAGCAAGGGGTTGGGAGTCAGGTGGGTGGTGCAGGTGGCCAGGGTCAAGCCAGGCAGGCTCTGAGCCTGGGTTGCTGCAGGGGAATTCCAGGCCGAGTGCCCAGTCACAGGACTGGAATGTGGGCCAGCCCCGAGAGCAGGGCAGGCCGGGAGGGAGTCTCATTCTCATTCTATGTATGGGGGGGTGTGTGGGTGTCTGTGGGCATGGCCACCCCATTTCACTCAAGGGTTTGGTTTAGACAATGGGGGGTCCCAGGCAGGGGCTTATTAGTTCTGAGAGGGGTGAGCAGGGGTGGGGGATTTCAGGATTGGGGGCCAGGACACAGGTCTTGGAATCCCCTCACCCCCACAAAGGAGGAGGGTGAGCTGAAACCCCTATAGGAAGCCAGCCTCCGTGGTCAAGGGGCGGTCTGGCACCCCCAACCTGGCCCTCCCCATCGTTCCCCATTCCCACTAAAGCCCACCAGGTGGGTCTCTCCCAGAATTCTCCAGGGAAGCTCAGGGCACTGAAATGTTTCTGGGTGTTCAGTTACCCTTGGTGCACAGGCAGGCTGACCTACTGCTCATGCAGCACCTCAGGCACCATGTCCCCTGCTACGTTCCCCACGTGACTCTCAGACCACTCCCAGAAGCCCCCTGCCCTCCCACTGAAGGGTGTCCACAAGGCACAGGGGGCTGGAACCGGCACCCAACTGGGTAGCCCGTCTCCCTGGTGACTCAGGCACCCCCGTGGCCAGCCCAGCTGGGGGGTCTTTTTAACTGGCTTGTATCTCAAAGTCCACCCGCAGATGCGACCCTGAGGGTGTCTCTCAAGCAAGGTGGGAGACAGGAGGGATGCATGAAGACCACCCACTGCCTGTCCCAGATCTGAACACCCTTCCTCGCCTCTCTGGGCTGCTTCCGCACTCACCTTGGCTGGGCGGGTCTAGGTGCATGCGGCCACACCCAGCTCCCTCATGTGCTCCCACAGTGACGAGGTGGCCCTGCGGCTGGCTTGCATCGGGGACGAGATGGACCTGTGTCTTAGAAGCTCCCGCCTGGCCCAGCTGCCTGAGATGGCCATGCACAGGTAAACAGTCCAGGCCCTGCCACGGCTTCCGCACCTGGGGTGGGGACTCTGGGCAGGCGGGGGGAGGCTGGGCCCTGAGGAAGCCCTGGAAGGAAGTGGCCGTGACACTCCCAGAAGATCTGGAGCCCTTTGCTGTCGCCCCCTTACCCAATGAGCAACTCCCAGCTCTTGGAGCTGGCCCTCTGCTGCCTGTTTCTGCTGGGCCCAGACAATAGACAAGCAGAAGCTAGGGCCTTTTCCCTACTTTCTGAGCAGGCCAGACAGCACATTTCTGAAAGGGACTTCAAGGGAGATGCTGGATCCCAGGCCCCGGAGGCTGGGCCACTCAGCTGGGCCCCCAGGTAGGCGCAAGGAGGGCAGTGACTGACCCTAGGTCCTGTACAGTGGGGGTGTATCTTCCACATGGCCAGCTCCAGAGCACAGGGCCAAAGCCCAGGTGGGCTAGCAGGCAGATGGGAGAGGAAGCAGGAAATTGGAATGAATGTGACCACCATCAGCCTATGCAGAGGCCCTCACAGGTGGAGGTGCCCAGGGAAGGGGACCAGGGTGGCAGTTGGGGTGGGAGGGGACTGGCCCGCTGCTCCCCTCAACTGTGATGGTATCACTCGAATCACAGGCTTTCTCTCCCCCTCCCATCTGTCTTTCAGCCTGGGTCTGGCTCTCACCTATGACCAGACAGACATCAGGGGTGTCCTGAGAAGTTTTGCTGACGGTTTCACCCATCTCAGGGAGAATGTAGTAAGGTTCTGGAGATCCCTGGTCCCCGGGCCCTGGGTAAGATCCTTGAAATTTCGTGACGCTGACTTGTGCTGCTACCAGTGGTGCTGCCTGGCACCACTCCTTGGGGCAAACACTCCAGTTTGCCACAGTCCCCACCATTCCCTACCACCAACACTTCACCTGTTTCCACATCTTCCTGGTCCCACATCTGAGGCTCCCGGTTGATTGAATAGGAGAATGTGTTAAGTTGTGAGTGCACAAACCAGTAGACCCACTTACAGGCCTGCTTCCCCTGGCAGACAAGACCCTCTCCCGGCCAGGACAGGTGTCTCCTCTCCCAAGCAGCTTTCCTGGCCAACTTCGTCTCAGGGTGCCCACTCCCCACTGTCACTACCGGGGCATCTGACCTCACCTGTGTTCACCCAGTGTTTTCACTTACGTCCCACACACTGGCAGCCCCAGGCCCGACTGGCCTCCCCTTTCTGGCCTCCCCTCTCTGGCCACGTCCTCGGGGCCACTTTCCCTTCCTCTCCCCACTGCCGTGAGCTCCTTCACTCTGGTGTCACCTTGTCCCGGACCCCTCCAGTTCTGGGTCAGGCACTCTTTCGAGTGCCCCTTCCCTGAACTTCCCCTGTCCCCCCAATCTCACCCCTTCTGGCTGGCCCCCGGGGCCCTCACGCCTCCCTTTGCTCCCGCAGGTGTCCCCCGGCCAGGCGTGCGAACAGGTGCTACTGCTGGTGCTGCTGCTGGGGCTGCTCCTGGGTGGGGGGCTGCACCTGATGCTCAAGTGAGGCCGATGACGCGGGTGGGGCTGGCCCCCGCCCTCGACCCCGCCCTGGAGGTGGAGGCCTGTTGCTTTTGTCTTTTTAACTGTTTTCTGAAGATCCCTTTTATATTTAAACTCTGAGATAGTGCTGGGACACTGCTGCGGTTTTGTACTTAGTTTTTGGTTGTTGTTTTTTTCAGTTTTTTTGTAAGACATGAATTCATTATACTGTGTGTTTAGCTGCCGCTTCTGAGGCCTGGCTGGACCTGCCAGGAGGCGGCCTTACCTGGATGAGAAGGGTTCTTCCACTCCTGCCGGTTGGTCACACACTGGGCGGCGGGGGGAGTGCTGGCCGCACCCCCGTGTCCGTGATGCCCTCGACAAAGAATCTACTGGGATAGATTTCTGAGGAGCAGGGAGAGCGCAATAAAATGTTGGTTTCCAGTCAGCCTCTGGTCCTCTCTGGGGTTTGCAGCTCTGGCCTGGGCTCCCAGGGAGGGAGCCAAGCTCCCAGGTAGGCGTGGCAGCCACTTCCCTGCCCCGGGACCACAAATGCTGCCTTGGGCTTTGGCAACTGCAGTTTGCCTTCTCCCTACCTGCCTAGACCTGAAATTCAGTTAGGGATTATTTCCTTTGGGCTTTCAGAAGCTCTTACAATAATGGGGATTTCTGTCCCCCTCCCGCACTCTCCGCTTCCTGCTGGAGGGGTGCAGCCATGGCCCTGCTCACAGAAGAAGGGTGCACTGGAGAGGTTGCTGGGCAAGGGGCACGAGGGACAGCAGGGCTAGGCCTCCTACCTTGTAGGCTCAGCGCTTGCTCCGTGCCTTGCCCTGGTGCCGTTTCTAGACCCCATCAGGCCTCCCTCCCAGAACCTGGGCTCTGTCTGCCCTCCCATCCCACCTCAAATGCTTAGGCTGAGCCAGGCTGTGATCCCACCCCCACCCCACGCCTCCCCCAGCATCGTACCCAGCCTCATCCTCCTTCCCACACAGGCCTTTGTTTCCTGACCCACCAGGCTGGAGAGCTTATCCGGGAGATACAGCTGTTTGGACTCCCCAGCCAGGCCAGGCAGACCCTGTCCCTGTATCCTCCTGGCTCCCACCTACATCCTCAAGTCCTTGAAACTGAGGGGATCCCTACCAGGCCTCCTTTTAAGTCTCAGCTCCCCATGGTCTGGTCCTTTGCAACTTTTTTTTCTTTTTCTTATTTTGAGGTAGGGTCTCACTCTTACCCAGGCTGGAGTGGAGTGGCAGGGTCATGGCTTACCAGAACCTTGACCTTTTGGGCTTAGCCAGTCCTTCCGCCTCAGCCTCCCTGGTAGCTGAGACTAGGTGCACGCCACCATGCCCAGCTAATTTTTTAATTTGTTGTAGAGACGAGGTCTCACTATGTTGCCTAAACTGGTCTCAAACTCCTGGGCTCAAGCCACCCTCCTGCCTTGGCTTCCCAAAGTGCTAGTATTACAAGCATGAGCTTTTGTAGCCTGACTTCACCCCTTTTATCTTTGTTTGCTGTTGACTTGTCACACTTCTGAGGCCCAAGACCCTCTCAGAACCTCTCAGGGTAAGCCCAGAGCCCCCAGTTCCAGGTCACTGCTGACTGGGCACCCAGCATTGCACTGCACAGGGGAGGGCTCTCCACACAGATCAACACCCCATCCCCCCCAAGCTTACAGACTTGGAGGTGATCCCAGGGTTCATTCAGTGTGCTAGAAATGGACACGCCAATGCCAGGAACATGGCAAGGCCAATCCCAGAGGCACTTCCTCCAGGAAGTCCTCAACCACTTGGCCCACAGCTCACTTCCTCCTGAGCTCTCATGAGAAGCTGCCTGCTGACCGTGTATCCACTGTGACATGGCCAGGGTTGCCTGTGGCTTTTCTTAAGAGGTCTGGGGATCTTCAGAAGGAGGAGCTGAGGCTACTGGGCCCTGGCCTCTCCCTGCAGGAGTTGGGATGCCCCATGATGGTCCTGTCCCGCCCTGGGGCTTACAAAATTCTTGCCACCCACGGGCATCAGAGGACCCTCCCCCACTCCCCGCTGCAGGCTCTGTGCACACAGACACTAAGTAAGGGTGTTGTGGGCACGTTCTGAGGGGAGCGAAGGGCTGAGAAAGCGACTGGCAGGTGGGCAGGACAGGGAAGGAAAGGCCTCAGAGGAGGAGCCAGCTCTGGAGACGTGGTGGCACCATCAGGACTGAGGGAGCTGCACGTGGTGGGAGATGGCGGGTGGGGTCCCAGCACTGCCAGGTCTGGCTGCAGGTGGTGAGGGCACTTGGGGTGCGACTGGCAGTGGGTCGGTAGCAGGATCTGGTCTTCGGGGGTGGCCTGTGGCCTTCCTTCCCTGGATAGGTGCTCACCCTTTTCCTTTGGCCCACGGCTTCTCCAGGAGGGCTGGGGAACGAGGGTGTCAGGCATAAGAAGCTCTGTCCCGACAGCTGAGGGAGGTGGGCTGGAGAAGAGGCCTTTCCCGCCTGGGCATAAAGCAGGCAGGCTGCTGCCAAGGGCCTGCGTCTCACCATGGGGTCTCTTGCCAGTCACTTAGCCCCGAGGAGCCTCCTGCGGCCTTCGCACCCACAGGCACGTGGTGGCAGCTGGGGGCTGACATGTCACTCAGCTCCAGACAGCCCACCCTACAGGTGGGAAACTGGGGAGGTAAGGAGTAAGGCTAGGTCAGGGCCCAAGTGCTCTGGCATCTTCTGACCACCTCAGGTCCAGCCTCCAGGCAGATGAGGACACTGAGACCCACAAGCAGGGAGGGGTCTTGGTAATGGCTCCAAGTCCTGTCCCTCTCCCCCAGCAGAAAGATGCCTGGCCCTGGGAGGCCGGAGCAGGAAGGGCAGCATGTGAGACCACTCATAGGCTCGAAGCTGGTGGAGTTGGGAATGGAGGGTAGCCTGCCCAGCTGACAGCATGGCCAGGTGCCTGGAGGGTGCCCCAGTAAAGACAAGTTGAACCTGAATCTGGGTGGAATGTTCTTAACAGAATGTGAGGAGGAGGGCTGGGTGTGGTGGCTCATGCCCATAATCCTAGCACTTTGGGAGGCCGAGGCGGGAGGATCGCTGGTACCTAGGAGTTTGAGACCAGTCTGGGCAACATAATGAGACCATGTCCCTACAAAAAATGAAAAAATTAGCTGGGCATGGTGGCACGTACCTGTAGTCCCAGCTACTTGGGAGGCTGAGGCAGAAAGATCACCTGAGCGCAGAGGGTCGAGGCTGCAGTGAGCTGTGATCACACCACTGCACCCCCAGGCCTGGGCAACAGAGTGACTCAAAAAGAATGTGAAGAGGAGGAGAAAGTGTCATGCAGAACAGACTTTTCTAGCAGCCCAACTGGACATGGGTGGGGGCCTCCGCCGTTTCCTCTAGGCTCCCCACTGGGCCTTGGGGCCCAGGAGACGGGACCTGGGTCTGGTCCCTGTGCCCTTGTGCCAGCTGGCTCCTGCTGGATGCACAGCCTGGCCATGGTGGTGGAGGGAGGGGCTCCCTAGTCCAGTTTCCGCCCTGCCCTGTCCCTGTGGGTAGTCTCGCTATCTCATCTGGCCATGGACCCTCATGAGGGTCACTCCTGCTCAACCCACTGACCAAGGCCCACCAGAAGCGTGGAGTCTCTGCAGAGGGACCAGACCAGCTGAGGGGCGACTCTGGAGGGGTGTGGGTGGGTTGGGTGTGGATCGGATGCTAGGGAAGCTGTGGTGAGTCTACCTGGGAGAGGACTGTGGTGACATGAGGATGAAGATGGTCCCTGGTGAAGAAGCAGGGTCCTCACGCAGGCCATTGCTGTGGGTGGTGGCAGGGTCTTGTTGGGTGCTGCTGACACTTGCTGTCTCTGTGGGCATGGGGCGTTTTCCATTTTGCTGTTTCTCCAGAGCCCACGCGCTACTCCAGTCACCCAGATCCATGCCCACCGCCCCTGACCACCACGGCTGACGAGAATGAAGGAGGCAAGGAGGTCCTCGCCTCCACATCACCCTTTCCCTTAGGGAGGGAGTCCTCCTGATAGTGTGAGGAACAATGGTTGTTAGCCCATTTTTTTTTGAGTTGGAGTCTCACTCTGTCACCAAGGTTGGAGTGCAGCGGCATGCTCACAGCCACTGCAGCCTCAACCTGCTGGACTCAGGCGATCCTTCCCCCTCAGCCTTCCAGGTAGCTGGAACCACAGATGTGCACAACCCCGCCTGGCAAAATTTTTAATGTATTGTAGAGACGAGGTCTCTTGCCAGGTTGCCCAGGCTGATCTGGCCAGCCAAAGTGCTGGGATTACAGGCGTGAGCCACCTGACCCAGCTAGCCCACTTTCTTGATGGGAGGACTGAGGCACACAGAGAAGTGACTCCTCCAGAACTAGAGGGCAAATATGATTTGAAGCCAGGTCTCGGCACCACTCCTTGGGTGCCCTCTGCCAAGCCTGGATCTGGACAGAGCAGATCCTGTGAGGGTCCTTCTACCATCCCTGTCTGTTCATCCCACTGGACTGGGCCTCTTTGGGATTCCATAGCCTTGGGCCAGCCACCTTTCTGCTCCCAGGCCAAGAGCAGCTTAGGCCATCTGCTGGGCTCCTGGGTTGGCCACGTCCACACCATGCTCACTCTGCCCAGCCCACTCCATTTGGGGCCTTGGGTGGGTGTTGGCCATGTAAGGTGGGTCTTCGCAGTGTGGGACCGGAGTCAAACTAGAGCTGGACAAGCCTTGCTGAAACCCACACAGGAGGCATGTGTGAGCTGGGGAGCTGAGGGCAAGCCATGTGGTTCTGCGGGATTGGTGTCCTCATCCAGAGAACAAGACCACAGCAGCACTTCCTCTGGGATCTGGGAGGGTGCCACAAATAATGGAGGCCCCAGCTGCTCAATAATCATCATCTGAAGTCAAGATGATCAGCTGCAAACCTTGAAGACTGGCTTGCCAAGGATGCTCTTCACAAGGGCACAGCTTTAGAGCCAACTGACCTGGCTTCCAGCTGCTTCCACCTGTCACTGGCGGCAGCAGGCCTGAGCATCTCCTTCACCCTCCCCAAACCTTGGGCTGCTCTGAGTACAAGCCTAGCACTGCTAAGCACCTGAGAGGTGCTGCCTCCCTCCCCTCCATACTGTCATACCCCACAAGTCCCACCTCTGCAGAGGAGGTTCTCCAAGAATATTCAGAAAAATCAAAGGTCACGTTTTGGGTGTCACTGTCTTGGGTCATAAAATTAAACACCAGATCCCAAGGCCAGGTGGAAACCCCAGGTGAAATGCTTTAGTCTCTGGCCTGGCTGGACCTGGACTCACAGAGAAAACCCCTGCTCCCTTGATTTTGCTCCCTGCAGCTGAACATAACCCTCAGATCCCATCCCGCCTACAGTGCTTCTCTGGCCTGGACCAGAGCGAGCTTGCGTCTCCTAGGGCTGATGCTTCAAGCATGCAGGGAAGGGGTTTCAGATTCATTGAGTGTTTAATAATAGCAAAGTTCTTTGTGCACTACGTTCTAAGGAATAGGTTTTTCCAAAGAACGACTGTGATTCAGAAGACGCTCACTCAGGATGTGATGAGTCACATTCTATTGATAATTTGCAGTGCTGGGTGTGGTGCTCACACCTGTAATTCCAGCACTTTGGGAGGCAGAGGCGAGAGGAGTGCCTGAGTACAAGGGTTCGAGACCAACCTGGCAACACGGCAAGACCTCATTTCTACAATAAATAAAAAAATTAGCCGAGCATGGTGGCACGCATCTGTGGTTCCAGCTACTTGGAATGCTGAGGTGGAAGGATCACCTGAGCCCAGCAGGCAGAGGCTGCAGTGGCTGTGAGCATGCTATTGCACTCCAGCCTGGATGACAGAGTGAGACTGACTCAAAAAAACCCCCCAAAAAACCCAAAAAAGCTCAGTGGTTCTCAGCCAGGGTTGTGTGGAATCATGGGGTTTGGGTGTGGGGAGTGCTACTGGCATGTAGTGGCTTGGCTGCCCATGAGAGGAAGACAGTCCCACACAAGGAAGGAAGGCCCACAGGGCCCTGTTGAGAACCATTATAGAATTAAGCACTGGGATTACAAGCACGAGCCAGTGTATCCAGCCAGACCACGGAATTAAAATGAGAAACCCCATCCAGGGTTTGACGTGTCTACGAAATGACACAACAGTGACATTTCAAGACAAATTCAGAGATCTCACTCCCAATAACATGTTCCCACTATCACTGCATAATGAAAAAAACCACCAAGCAGCATGGAGTTCCTCATATTTGACATGAACCCAGGAGCTGTTTCCTCAGAGCCTGTGCCAGGCTCTCGGGAGGGTAAGTGTGGAGGCAGCCTGTGCTGTGCTGTGCCGGGGCACCTGACAGGTCCAGGTAGTCATGGTGCTTGGGGCGCCTCTTTCTCTGCACTCCCCACACCCCCTGCTCCTTGCTCAAGGATCCTCTTCTGCCAAGGCAGAGGTCACTTGTTCTCTGGCAAACATTAGGCACTCAATGTTTTTCCTGGGTGTGTAAACGAAGGTGGGATTCGGTCTCCCAGCTGTCCAGTGAACAAAATGACTGCCTAGGCCATGAGATTAGTGACAAAGGCACCCTGGATGGCCAGCAGGGGCAGTGTGGGTACCCTCGGGCATCGGCCTAACCTGAGGCCGTGTCTGTCCACACGCTGGCAGGGTGGGCAGGTTGCGATGCTGCAGCAGGCCAGCCCTTTCTGGTCCCGCGGAGGCATCTGGTCTGTCATGGGGCAGGACTGGTAGAGGCGGGGCCAGGGCTTGCCAGCCTCTCCAAGTAACTAGCACTGTTGCACCTTTCCCCAGCAGCCAAATATTTGTTCAAGAGGAAAAATGGACTAGGTCATGTAAAGAAACACTCACTTTTAGTGCTTTTTCTGTGGTCTTCAAAGCACATTGCAAAAAACCGCTCTATTACTCCTCAGAGGAGCCGTCAGGGAGGGAGGGTGGGGCAGGCACAGCCCACAGCCCCTACTGGGGAGGACAGACGGGGTCACCCCATTTAACCCCAGCAGTCATCATGGAGATGCCTCAGGGTCCAGGTGCTCGCTGGCCTGCAGCACATCCATGGCACTGTAGGACTTCCAGGCCTGCAGGTTACAGCTTCTCAGGATGGTGCCCAGCTGCTGCCCAGGGCCCACCTCAAACGTCCTGGGGAACTCGGTGCCCTTTTTCCTCTCGTATATGGCATGCATGGTCTGCTCCCACTTCACTGGGGAGACCACTTGCTGGACCAGCAGCTTCTGGATGTGTTTGGGATGCATGTATCTGTTCCCGTTGACATTGGAGTGGACGGAAACCAGAGGCTTCTTCAAGTCAATTGTCTTTAAAACTTGCGCTAGGGGCTCCAAGGCTGGCTCCATGAGGCGGGTGTGGAATGCCCCACTCACCGGCAGTATCTTGGTGCGTCTGAAGTAAAACTTAGAGGAATTTTTCTGGAGAAACTGCAGAGCCTGGGAAAGAACAGAGGTTTAAGCCAAGCAGATCTTAGGAGGAGAAACAGCGGCAGAAGTCACCACTGGCAGCGATATCCTAGCCCTGGTATATGCTTATCTGCACACTTGTACCTGTATCTCACCCGCAAACCCTGGGTGACGACCTTAACTCACTTCTTTAGTTCCAGTTAAAATTAGTTGTACAGTCATTGTCCCCAAATCCTCCTTTGGGGATCTGACCATTCACATGCCTCAGTTGGGAAGGGGACCATGGAGACCCAGAGCTGTTCAACATGGACTCAGGTCTGTGCATCTGCCCAGCACCCTCATATAGTAGCTTCGTGGCCCAGGCACGTCACTTAGTGTCTTAGAGCCTGTTCCTTCTCATCCCTAAAACAAGCACAATTCCATCCACCTCACAAGGTTGCTGGTAAAGCAAATCCCACAAGGTATGTAAGTGTCTAACAACGTGAAAGGCACCAACCTAAGGGTTCGTTTTCAATGAGAATTGTTACCACCTCAGAATTTGTAACAAGCCTGTTTTTTTACTCCATAATCTTCACGATAAATATTCAGAAGGAAAACCCAAGCCCCATTTCACAATGCTAGGTCTTGACAGTCAGAACCCCTGGGGTGTTGTCAACCAAAAGCCTCCGGTGAAGGGTAGGTACCTCAGCTCAGAAAAAGGTCTCAGAGGCTAGCCAATAGGTTCAAACACTTGCAGCTGTTTGCAAACAACAGAATTTGCAAAGATCTTTACAGCAGCAGAATTTTTTTGAGTCAGGGTCTCACTCTGTCACCAGGCTGGAGGGCAGTGGCACAATCATGGCTTATTGCAGCTTCGACTTTCTTGGCTCAAGTGATCCTTCTGCCTCAGCCTCCTGAGTAGCTAGGACTACAGGTGCCACCACACCCAGCTTTTTTATTTTAAGCTATTCTTGCGCCTTGGCCTCCCAAAGTGTTAGGATTACAGGTGTAAGCACCTGGCACAATAGTAGACATTCTTAAGAGAACTGTGTCCTCGGAACACAGTGTGGGGCCTGGCTCATGGATCCGCACTGTAAACTGTGTCCCCCCAATCTGACCTCATCTATACCCATCCAGAGGCAGGGCCAGGCAACAAGAACTGCTCCCTGGAAGACCTAAGATAAGACTTAAAACGGTCACATTGGCTGCATAACCTAGGGCAATCTTACTTTACCTAGGTGCCTCAATGTCCTCAACTATAAAATGGGGATTACAGTAGTCATCTCACAGGGCTATGGAAGAACTATGCTTGTAACACAAGTACTGTGTAAGAGTTCATGATCAGCACTGTCTTGTATGCCAAGCCTGTCCATATCCACTGGGAAAAAAATAACAGGGTAGCTGTTTCTCCCCCACAGGGCAGGAGGGATTACAATATTTGGTTGTTCAGCCAACTCCGTGGGCCCCTCCTTGCCAGAGGAGGGCATAGTGCCCACCTTGATGAGATGGACATGATTTGGTCAAGGAACCCTATCTCGCTTTTCCTCTGTCTTTAGTCTATCAGTGTTCCCTAGAAAGATGTTCTAGTAGCCTGAGCCCTGCGACAAGAACAAAGCTCAGCAAAGCCCAGCACCTTGTGCACCTCTGCTTGTGTGCAGTGACCACTGAGAGGTGTGGATCCTGTTCCTGCAGCAACGCCTGGCTGTCCTGACTGCCCTAGAGCTTCCTGTCCATCGTCAGCCTCAATGCAGTACCATTTCAGTGAGGGACATGTCTCCAGAGCTGGGAGTCTCTTGGATCTAAGGCCTTTTGGACTCCATAGCCCAAGCTGTTCCCAAGCCTAAATTGTTTTCATGAGCCGCACGTGTGTGGAGAGCTACTCAGAGGCATTTCCTGGGGCACCTGTGGTCTCAAAGTGCTTTCTATGTAAGATATCTGAATCATTCAACAGCTGAGCCAACTCAAGTATCAGGTTAGGGCCACAGGAGTCAAGCCATAAACTCAGACTCCAGCAGGCTTCTCAGGGAGTTTTTTTTTTACATCGCCTGAGCTGTTTGCTATGGCACTTCCAAGGTTACTGAGAGAACAAGCCTGAGATTCCTAGGAGTCATCATCTAGACTGGGTGCACACCTGTCTGGCAGATCCTAACCCTGGCTTGGGGGCCCTTCCTGGGCCACTTCTGGGCTTCTTTCCAAGGCAGCTAATGGGAATGAGCAACCAGCGCCAAGACTAACCTGGGTCCACTGAAACTGACCTTCCCATCAACTCAGAACAGGTTCTATGGCTCTCGTGATTCAGAAGAGGTATCCAAGGACACTGGCATACAAGCCCTCAGAGGGGAAGAGAAACTAAGCATGGGCAAATGGAAGAAACAGATTCCAGAGGCAGATTCAGGTTCAAATTCTGCCTCTGCCATCTCCAAGTGCTTGCCTCTCTTTGCCTCAGCTTCCTTGTTCGTGACACATAGGAGAGCCCCCACACAGCCCAGGACTGGCTGTGAGGGCCATAAGGTGAGATATGGAAACATCTTCTCTGGGCTCTCTTCTGGACTCAGAATTCTCCGAGCCAGGCACTTGGCTCTGAATGCCTTTTCCCTCAGGGGCTCCTGCCTCTCTGCTCGGGATGCCCCCTCCTGGCAGCCTTGTGCTCAGCCTCCAGGTGTCGCCTTCTCAGACCCACTGATAGTCTGCCTGACCCTCACTGGGTCCCTTGGCCAGGACTCATCAGTTCATGACTGGTCTTCCTCTGGAGGAATCAGCCTTTGCCCCCATGCTTGTGACCTACAAGCTGCTTGGTAAATGTCTGAGGAAACAGTGAATGGAAGGAAGAACAGTGGAAAGGAAATTAACTTGGGTGTGAAAACAGAAACCTAGCAAAGGCTGGGTGGGGCAGAGCAATCCAACAGAGGACAGCTCTACTTCCTCTAAGGAAGAACCAGACCAGAGGCTCATGAGAAGCCCAGGATGTACTAGAGGAAGGCCCAGAGATCACCTGGTTCCGGCCCATTACGATAGACACGGACTGGGCGATGTGTTCCAGACCCCATGTGTGTGGAGTGGGGCAGCGTCCCTGCCTCCCACCCTCTGCAGTGTTTTGTCTACCACACACTCCCACACCCAACGGCTTCCTAAAGACCAGGCTCGGCAGAGCACCACCACACTGTAGGCCCTCACAGGTGTAGAGCCTTTCAGTCCTGCCTGCTGGAGCCCGCAGAAGCACTTCCCATCACACCAACCTCGACGTGTCCTGAGATCACCCTGCAATCAGGAAAGAGGTAGTTGGACACCTCGCACACGGGGCTCTCTATGCCCAGAGACTTGCAGTGTTCCCGGGCTTCCAAACAGGCAAGGGTGAACTTGGACTGGGGCCGGCCAAGGACAGACAACATCCCACTGGGGACAGCTTCTGAGGCTTCCTGCATGGCCTCAGCTCGGACCTTCACTGCATACAAACCTATCCAGAGAGAAGTGCATTTGAAAAAGTCAGACACATAATGAAGGAGGGAAGGTGAGACCTAAAAGACAAAGCCCAACCTCCACTCTGTACTGGGGATGCTGGCATTGGTGTTGCTCCCAGCCCTCAGGCCCACAGGGTGTCTGTACCCATTACACACAGGTGTTACTTCCATCACCAGAAAGCAGGGTATGTCATAGGCACTCTACAGATGAACCCAAGGAGAGTAAGCTGGTGTGGTGTAGAACCAGGCTGATTATGCCCTAGTGTAGTATCTGGAGAACAATTGGGGAAGAGTGCTACTGACACCTAGTGGGGAAAGGCCAGGGATGCTGCTCAACATTCTACAGTGCATAGGACAGTCCCCAAAAGAAATGACCTAATTCAAAATGTCAATAAGCATTGAGAAACCTTGGTGAAGCATAAAGAGGAAGCAACTGTGAGCTACATCACCTCAGGCAAGTCACGACCTCCCTCCAGTTCAAATGTTTAGTTAGTAAAACGAGGAAAATAATATCCTATCTGCTGGGGCTGTGAAAACAGAGAGCTATTATTAATGATGATGATTATTTTTTTGAGTTGGAGTCTCACTCCGTTGCCCAAGCTGGAGTTCAGAGGCACACTCCTGGCCATTGCAGCCTCGACCTGCTGGTCTCAGGCGATCCTTCTGCTTCAGCCTTCCAAGTAGCTGGAACCATAGGTGCACGTCACCATGCCCAGCTAAGTTTTTTGATTTATTATAGAGATGAGGTCTCGCCAAGTTGTCCAGGTTGGTCTGGAACCCCTGGGCTCAGGCAGTCCTCTCGCCTCCACCTCCCACAGTGCTGGGATTACAGGCATGAGCCACCACACCCAGCTTATTAATGATTATTAACATGACTGACTCAGGTACAAAAACAGACACCTAGCAAAAGCTGGGCAGGGCAGAGCAATCCAACAAAAGACAGTTCTCTGTTCTCTAAGGACGAACCACATCAGAGGCTCATAACAAGCCCAGAACATACTAGGAAGACCTGGAGATCATCTGGTCCTGGTTCATTACTTTAGACATGGGCCGGGTGATGTGTTCCAGACCCTGTGTATGCATGGAGTGGGGCAGCATCCCTGCTCCATCAGGTTTAAGAAAAAAAGCAATTAAGGCTGCTATACAAACTACAAACAAGTACATGAATTTCAGTAACATATAATTCTCATAAATCAAGTATCACTGTCTCTACTTAGAGCTGGAGAAGCTGACCCAGCCAAGGCAAAGTAAAACATGGGCTCCTGACCTAGCATGGCTGGAGAGAAGGGTGGGAGGACAGGACTTGCCCAAGCAGGCAGCTCCAGTAATCGTGACATAAGAATGGCTGTAACTATGGTTATCGCCCAGGGAGGGTGGATGACCAGACCAGGGAGGGATTAAGAGACCTCCCCAGGGTTTGATGAAACAAGAGTCTGAAGAGGAAATCCTGCACCCTTTCTCTTTAACACATTGTCATTCACTCAGCACTTATATTCGTACTGGACTTTTAGGCACTTACACAAAGAGAACTGTGGAGTAAATATGTTAAGAGCTAGTGACAGGAAGCAGAAGAAAACACAAGAATATGAGAGAGCACATGGAAATCCTCCATGCAGGCATTAAAGTAAGAACTATGCAAAATGTCAAGTGAAAAACTGAACACAAAGTTGTAAATGTGCTATAATTCTGCAAGCTATATATATATATAATGATACGTGTAATAAAAGTTTCATTAGGATGTGGGATTATGCAACTTTTTCCCTTTCATTTCCTTAATAGTGCTATGCTTTAAAAAACTGAGATGAGGCCAGGTGCAGTGGCTCACACCTATAATTCCAGCACTATGGGAGGTGGACGTGAGAAGACTGAGTCAAGGGATTTAAAACCAGCCTGGGCAACTTGGCAGACCTTGCCTCTACAATAAATAAAAAAAATTAGCTGAACATGGTGCTGCACACCTGTGGTTCCAGCAGGTGGAGGCTGTGAGCATGCCACTGCACACCAGCCTGGGCGACAGAGTGAGACTCTGACTGGGGGGGAAAAAAAAAACGGAATGAAATTCACATAAAGTATAACTAGTAATTTTAAAGCATATAGTTCAGTGGTATTTGGTATATTCAAAATGTTATACAATCATCAGCTCTCTCTAGCTTCAAAACTTTTTCACCACCCATGCCTACTAAGTAATCATACCCCATTTCTTCCTCGCTGATCCCTCAGAAACCTCTCATCTCTCATCTCTATGCACTGGATTCATGTATTCTGGATAATTCACATAAAGGAATCAAACAATGTATGACCTTTCTTGTCTGGCTTCTTTCTCTTAGAATGCTTTCATGGGTCTATCTATGTTGTAGCATGTATCAATACTTTATGCCACTGCATGGATGTACCATAATGTGTCCATTCATCAGATGATGAACACTTGGCATGTTTTCACATTTTGGCAATTATGAATGATGCTGGTATGGACATTAAAAATTTTTTTTTTTTTTTTGCGTTGAAGTCTCTCTCTATTGTCCCGGCTGGAGTGCTGTGGCACACTCAGAGCTACCACAGCCTCGACCTGCTGGGCTCAGGTGATCCTTCTATCTCAGCTTTCCAAGTAGCTGGAATCACAGATGCATACCACCATGCCCGGCTAATTTTCCTATTTATTGCAGAGACAAGGTCTTGCCAAGATGCCCAGGCTGGTCTCAAACACCTGGGCTCAGGCAATTCTCTCGCCTCTGCCTCCTGAAGTGCTGGGATTACAGGCATAAGCCAACACGCCCGGCTGACATTTTTAATTTCTTAGGTGTATACTATGCCTAGAGTTGCTGGGTCACATGGAAATTTTTTTTTTTTTTTTTGAGTTGGAGTCTCACTCTGTCGCCCAGACTGTAGTGCAGTGGCCACTTCCGGCCACTGCAGCCTTGACCTGCTGGGCCCCAGCGATCCTTCCGCCTCAGCCTTCCGAGTAGCTGGAACTACAGGCATGTGATACCACGCCCGGCTAATTTTTTGATTTATTGTAGAGATGAGGTCTCACTGCCCAGGCGGGTCTCGAACCCACGGGCTCAGGCAATCCACTCACCTCAGCCTCCCAAAGGCCCGGGATTACAGGCTAAGCCACCGAGCCTGGCTGGAAATTTTTTGTTTTTTGAGTTGAAGTCTCACTCTGTTGCCCAGGCTGCAGTGCAGTGGCACACTCATGGCCACCGCAGTCTCCGCCTGCTGGGCTCAGGCGATCCTTCTGCCTTAGCCTTCTCACATGGAAATTTTATGGTTCACTTTTTGAGAAACTGACCAAACTGTTTTCCACAGCGGCTGCACTATTTTACATTCCTACCAGCAATGTGTGAGGGTTCCTATTTTTCCATACCCTTGTCAATACTTATTTTCTTTTTTTCTTTATGAAAACCATCCTAGTGGGTATGATGTGCTATCTTACTGTGGTATTAATTTGCATTTCCCTGATGATTAGCGATGTTGAACACATTGGCAAGTGCTTGTTGGCCATCTGTATACCTTCTTTAGAGAAATGTCTATTCAACTCTCTTGCCCATATTTAACGAAAAGAAAAAATGTTTAACCGTTTTAACTATAAGCAAAAATCTTAAGAAGTAAAATTGATATGGCTCAAGATCAAATATTCATTTACCCCTTTTCATTCAATGAACATCTACTGAGTGCCTACTACATGTGGCAGGCCCACGGGTTCGAGACTAGCCTGGGCAACTTGGTGAGACAAAAAATAAAAAATTAGCTGGGTGCAGTAGCGTGTGCCTGTAGTTCTGGCTACTTGGAAGGTTGAGGCGGAAGGATCACTGAAGCCCAGCAGGTCCACGCTGGGGTGGCCATGAGCATGCTACTGCATTCCAGCCTTGGCGACAGAGTAAGACTCCAACTCAAAAAAAAAAAAAAAAAAAAGAAAGAAAGAAAGCCCTAATGAATCCTTCAGGCTTAAAAAGGAGTTACAGTGAAGTCTGGTCCCCAAAATCCAATGTCACCCCTGTCCACATACTCCCTTCCCTGTCACGCCTAAGTGGGTCCAGTATTTTTGACAGTGTCCTGTACCCCAGTGAGCCCAGCAAGACACATCCCTGCATAAAACCAAACTCTTTCCTGTGTACCTTCAGAAAATTCCATGGCTCCGGCAAACACTAGGGCTGCAAATTCTCCCACACTGAATCCAGCAGCAGCAACACAATTCTCAATAACCTGCAGTGACAGATGCAGAACATGAGGTCAAATTCTCTGGAGGAGCTCAGTTTCAGAGCTGCTCTGCACCTGAGAGCTGGCAGGGTGTTCAGCATCTCAGAGAGTCACGTTTCACTGGCTTGGTGCTCCAGCTGAAGACCACACACACAAGCGGCCTTGACCATCACTGAGTCCATCACTGAAGAGGTACTTCCTGGGTAAAGCAAGTTAAAGCCCAGTCAACTCTATGGCCTCGCTGACTCCCACTCAGGGTTCTGGATTATCCTGCCTCGGTCCTGGGGCCTCAGACTATCTGGTGTGGCCCTTAAGTGTAGAAGAGCATGACTTCTGCAGTCATCGAGACTAGCTTTCTTAGGTTGGGAGAGTTCTCAAGTCCCCCTGAGCCTGTTATCTCATCTGTCAAATGAGGGAAGAGCAGAAGCTACTTCAAAGGGCTGAATTATGTGATGATACTGTCTATAAAGTGTTTAGCACAGACCTGGCCAAGGTCAAGCAATGAATGAACATTATTATCAATATCCAACAGGCCCACCAAACGAATTCTCTTAATAGCCCTGAGTCTCCTTTCCTTATCCATAAGACAACAGTATTTACTTTACAAGGTGGTTGTGAAGGTGCTGCGGGGTAAAGGATCTCAAGTACTAGCTTCACATTTACTGTCTTGACATTACTAAATATTCACATCAACTCACAGCCTTCAAGTGAAGTGACATTCTCAAACTGCCATCTTCTCAATGATCCTTCATTTAGGGATGAAGCTTAAGCCTTTTAAAATCGTTTAATAATTAACTCAATGATTAAGAATCATTTAAAATCGCAACCTAGACCTCCACTCCCACATCCCCTTACCTGCTGGCTTTGTTTTCTATAACACGTATCATCTTTAACACACTATGTAATTTACACAGTACGTTTATTGTTTATGATCTGTCTTCCCTAAGACGGAGCTACCCTAGAGCGGGGATCCTTGTTTTGTTCACGGCGCCCGACACATATAAGAGCTGAGCAAGAATCTGTGACACGAGTGGAGGCCCCCGGCGTGGCAGGAGGGGCCCGGCGTGGGCGTAAGCCCACCTTTCGCGGGCTGCCACGGGGCCTCGAGCCTCACCGCGGGCTGTAGGTGGTGGAGTTTCTCCACCGCGGCCAGAGAAGCCACGAAGATGGCGGGCTGGCAGTGGACGGTGCGGTCCAGTTCCTCCTGCGGCCCGTGCAGGCTAAGCTCCAGCAGGTCGTAGCCCAGCACGCGTTGTGCGGCGGCGTAGAGCTCGCGGACGCGCGGGTAGCCGAGCAGAGCGCGGCCCATGCCCACCACCTGGCTGCCCTGGCCCGGGAAGAGCAGCACCGAGGACTGGCCCGGCATTCGCCGCGCCGGAGCCGGCGGGGGCTCCTCCTCCGCCGCCGTCGCTTCTCGCAGCAGCTTCGCCACGTCCGCGGCGCCCGGCGGGGGCAGCGGGAAGCTCGAGGCGCCGCGGCGGCAGCGAGCGCCCAGACCCCAGGCCCACGCGGCCCGCGACCCCCGGATGCTCATGATGGGACTCCCGCCCCGCGCGCGTTACCGTGGCGACCAGGGCCCGACTGCGGCGGCGCGGCGCCGCGTGGTCCTTGACTGATTTCCTGCCGGGCTGCCCCGGGCACCCGGGGGTGGGAAGAAACGTTCCTGGATGAGTGGTTCCGCCTGGCTGCTGAGGTCCTTGATGACCGCTTGCTGGGTGCCTGGGATCCGTGCGCTTACTTAAACTTCCACAGCCAAGAATGTAGCACGACCCCACACCACAGTGAGCTCTCAGAAGATATTTATGGACTAAATACCGCAACGTAATGATTACTGTCTACCTAGCGCTTGAAGAGTACTTGAGACTCTTCTTGCATGAGTCTCCCAACACTAAGCAAGATAACAGCTTTTTTTTTTTTTTTCTACTTTATTCTGAGACAGGGCCTCTCTTCTGTCATCTAGGCTGGAGTATGGTGATGTGATGTAGCTCACTGCAGTCTCGAACTCCTGGGCTCAAGCGATCCTTCCACATCAGCCTCCCGAGTAGCTGCGCTAGTGGTCGCGCGCCATTACACCTGTAATTTAATTTTTTGTAAAGACGCGTGTGTGGCTGTGTTGCCTAGGCTGGTCTCAACTCCTGGCCTCCCAAAGCCCTGAGATTGCAAAGGTGAGACACTGCACCCAGCCTGCTCTCTTTAATAGTGTCTTCTACAAAGCAGATATAGTGCCTGGCACGTAATAAGCATCCAATAAAGATACCGAATTCTGTAAAATATTTAAGATAGTTTATTCTGAGCCAAATATGAGTGATGTTAGGCCCATGGCACCTGTCCCAGGAGGTCCTGAGAACTTGTGCCTGGGACAGTTAAATTGTAGCTTGGTTATACACATTTTAGGAAGACAGAAGACACAGGAAACTGTAAATCAATACATGTGAGATTTACATTGGATTGCCTGGGAAGGCGGACCAAGCAGGGGCTTGCAGGTTATAGGTGGATTCAAAGATTTCCTGACTGGCAATTAGTAGCAAGAGTTATCTAAGGAATTTTGAAGGCAGTAAAGGAAATGAGTGACTTGAGGAATCATGGGAGAATCAAGTTTCTTGATATGTAGATGAAGTCTTACAGGTGGCAAACTTCAGAGAGAATAGGTGGTAATGTCTTAAATGGTGCCAGTCCAGGAGTCCCTAAGACATGGTTTTACAGGATCATAAAATACTTTGATTTCCTTCTTTATCTGTTGTGTGATGTTATGCCAGAGTCGGGTTGGAAAGCAAGCCTCATTAAATAGGGTTAATTTAAAAAAACTCATCTGGGCAACCCCTTTGGGTCCCATCCCACTGTGGGAGCTTTTCTGTCCTCTCAATAAATCCTGCTTTAAAAAAAACAAAACTCATCTGATGACTCTTTGTAGGACATGACTCCCTGAACCCTGTGACTAGGATTTGGACAGAGAGAGAGAGAGAGAGATAGAGAGAGAGAGAGAGAGAGAGAGAGAGAGAGAGAGATTGAGATTAGTCTTTCATGCCATTGAACAAAGCCCTGAATATTTAAGTCCTCACAGCAATTCTGTGATGGATAGAGCCATTATTATCCTCAGTTTACACATGAGTAGACAAAGGTTGAAAGATTGAGTAATAGGTGGTCAGTGGCAGAATGGGGATTAGAAACTGGGGCTATCTAGTGTCAACCTAAAAGAAACTCAGAGAGACAGGCTTTTCTGAGCAAATGATTTTATTTGGGAATAGCAGGGAGCTTGCAATCCCAGGCACAAGCTATGGGGAGTCATAGGTTGTCCAAGGGAATTGGAGAAAGAGGAATCTTTTATTTTTATTTTATTTTTTTTTGAGTTGGAGTCTCACTCTGTCGCCTTGACTGGAGTACAGTGTCATGCTCCCGGCCACTGCAGTCTCAACCTGCTGGGCTCAGGTGATCCTTCCACCTCGGCCTTCCAAGTAGCTGGAACTACTGGCGCGCACTACCACACCTGGATAATTTTTTAATTTATTGTAGAGACGAGTCTCATCAAGTTGCCCAGGCTGGTCTTGAACCCTCAGCTCAGGCAATCCACTCACCTTGGCCTCCCAAAGTGCTAGGATTACAGGCTGAGCCACTGAGCTCAGCCTTATTTTTTTATTTTAAAGATGTGGGGTACGATTCAGGCTTAGGTATACAGGTGGTCATCATACAGGTAAAATTTGGGAGAGGAATCTTTTAAAGTCAGAGAATTCCATGGAAGCCGTTTTGAAACCAAAGGTTTTGAAGACCAAAGGCTACAGGGGTTTGTTGCAGGAGCTGGCATGAGCTTATCAGCTGTTGCTAGGCAGGTGTTCTGGTGCAGGCAGATCATCTGACTTGAAGATTTCCTGTGTTAAGTGCTAATACCAGTCTGGTGCAGGTATGTTTGCATGAGGGATTCCTTTCCAAGGCCTATCCTGAGTCCGTTTTGTTAGAGTTTTACACAAGTAAAACTCCATTTTGGTACTGATAATTTTTATACCTGCTTCTGAGCGCTGTTGTGAGGCTAGATCAGAGAGCCTGACTCTGAGCTCACCCTAACTTTCACCTCTTCCCCTCTGCTCCTCTCTCATTTCCTTCCAGCCTCTGCTAAGGAGGGTAGGGCACACATGGACACACACACAAACACACCATAATGAAAAGATCTCGGTAGTCTTAGTTTCTTCAGTATGCTATAACAGAACACTGTAGACTGTGGGACTTAAACAACAGAAGTTTCTTTCTCATGGTTCTAGAGGCTGGGACGTCCAAGATCAAGGCACCTGCAGATATGGTGTCTGGTGAGAGCCTGCTTTCTGGTTTGCAGTTGGCTGTCCTCTTATTGCTCCTCACATGGTGGAGAGGGAAGAAAGAGAGAGAGAGGGAGGAGAGAGAGAGAGAGAGAGAGAGAGAGAGAGAGAGAAAGAGAGAAAGAGAGAGATCCAGTCTCCTGAGCCCAGTAGGTTGAGGCTGCATGGCCATGAGCGTGCCGCTGCACTCCAGCCTGGGTGACAGAGTGAGACTCCAACTCAAAAAAACCTCCAACCTCATGGCCTAAACACCTCCCAAAATGATCCACCTCTAAATATGGTCACACTCGGGACTAGGCTTCAACATATGAATTTGGGGGGGACACAACATTTAGTCCATAGCAAACCACATCAGCAAATTTACTTTACTGAGTTTGTCCTAAGACAGGAATCAAATGAGCAAAGACCTAACTCTCAGGGTATCCATGGCAGCCTGCTTTTAACAAGGAAAAAGTGGAGATAAGCTGTATGTTCAATTAGAGGGAATTCGTTAAATGAAATATGGCAAATCTATACAGTGCCATGGTCATAAAATATATGGAGATTTTCAGGTTAAGACCAGCATAGAGCACACACTGCCTCTGGAAGCCCATAAATTCACAGCAAAGGGATATTTTAAAGACACAACTTTACAAGCACAGGAAGAACAGGAAGGGGGATCCCAGCAACAGAATCTCTAGAAGCTGGAAAGCAGGTAGGCTGGTATTTCCTGACTTAACTGACCTCAGCCTGCTAAATGCCTCCCAGCAGTGGCGAAAGCTGAGAACCAACCCTTAATCACAGAGCTTAGGAACTGGCAGCAACAGCTGCTTTTTAGATCTAAGGGTGAAAGAAGGTGAAAACAAAGAGTACTGTTTGAAGGAGTCTTTGAGAAACAGGTCCTTATTTATTTATTTATTTGACTGGAGATCTCACTCAGTTGCCCAGGCTAGAGTGCAATGGCATGATCACAGCTCACTGTAGCCTTGACCTCCTGGGCTCAGGCAATCCTTCTGCCTCAGCCTCCCTAATAGCTGGGACTACAGGTGTAGGCCTGTACACCTGGCTAATTTTAAAATTTTATTTGTAGAGATGAGGTCTTGCTGTATTGCCTAGGCTGATCCTTTTTTTTTTTTTTTTTTGAGTTGGGGAGTCTCACTCAGTCACCCAGTGTGCAGTGGCACACTCACGGCCGTCAACCTGCTGGGCTCTGGCAATCCTTCCACTTCAGCCTTCCAAGTAGCTGGAACTACAGGCGTGCACAACCATGCCCAGCTAATTTTTTATTTGTTGTAGAGACAAGGTCTCGCCAAGTTGCCTGGCTCAGGCAATCCACTCGCCTTGGCCTCCCAAAGTGCTGGGATACCGAGCCCAGCCCCTAGGCTGATCTTGAATTCCTGGGCTCAAGCAATCTTCCTGCCTCGGCCTCCCAAAGTGCTGAGATTATAAGGGTGAGCCACCACACCTGATCAAGAAACAGATCTTCAGATTTCCTGCTTCTCCTTAGCCCCTGGATGATGTCGCTCCCTTACTCTGGGAAACATCTGGGGTTTAGCTGTGGAAAGGGACAAAGTGTCCCTGGGTTGGACATGCCAGGGACAGCAATGACATGGGCACTCTGCCATAACAGGTCAACATTAAATGCTGAATGCAGAGACCTCCTCCAGCGCTGTCCCCAGGTGAGCCCCCAGAAACCTGGAGCCAGACCCTTACCCTCCAGGCAAGAGACTGAAGGACCTTGGGGAATCTGACCAGCCCAAAAGGAAAATCCTGAAGATATTGACAATACAGTCCAAGTTGCAGAACTTGGGCTACCAAGTTCACCTTATAGTGAAACTGAACCAACAAGTATCACTCATAGGCTTATTTTGTTCATTTCTTTAATCATGAACAATCCTGAGCAGTCAGCTGAAGACTTCCCAGCATCTGCGGAAAGCCTCTAATAAGCAGGTGAAAATAAAGCAGCATATAGGATTCGAAGATTCTGAAGAGAGAAGAAAATAATTGTTTTAATAAAACTGTCGCCGGGTTTGGTGGCTCAGCCTGTAATCCCAGCACTTTGGGAGGCCGAGGTGAGTGGATTGCCTGAGCCCGCGGTTCGAGACCCACCCGGGCAACTTGGCGAGACCTTGTCTCTAAATTAAAAAAATTAGCCAGGCATGGTAGCACGCGCCTGTAGTTCCAGCTACTTGGAAGGCTGAGGCAGAAGGATCGCTGGGGTGGCCATCAGCACACCACTGCACACCAGTCTGGGCAACAGAGTAAGATTCCAATTAAAAAAAAAAAAAAAGATTTTTGGGCC